CACTAGGAAGAATGTATGCAATGTGTTAATTACTGAAACTGTCCTACCAATTTGATTTGAAACAGTCTCATTGCTATTTGTTTATCAATAAAATTATGGGGGAAAAAATTTTAAAAAAAAGAGTGAAACCTTGCTAACACTACAATGGAAGGTTGGAAATAATTTGTAAAGAATGATATGTTACAAATGTCCTGAAGTACACTACAATGAAATACAAGAAAAACATTGTAATGATTTGTTCTAGTGGTTTTTGTAAATAGGATGTTGAGTTCACATCTTGTACAGCAATTAAATACTAAGAAGAATGCATGCAGTGTGTTAATTATTGAAACTGTCCTACCAATTTGATTTGAAACTGTCTCATTGCTATTTGTTTATCAATAAGATTATGGCAAAAAAAGAAAAACATTCTATATGCACCAATGGTAATACTCAAAAGTATAGTTATCATGATACTTCATTCTCTGAACTAAAAGCCTTCATTGTAGGGCTTTCTTATTTTTTCCTTTTTTTTTTTTTTTTTTTTTTTTTTTTTTTGTACTGGGAATTGAACTCAGGACCTCAGGCTTACTAGGCAGGAACTGTGCCACTGAGCTATTTCCCACACTGTCCACAGGCTTTCTCATTGTAACTGTCAGAATCGAAAGGATTTATGAGAAGTGATAGCTGTACCATCAAGATTTTTAGAACAATCATGACACTCAAGAGATTTGCTTTCCTCCAAAATTACGTATGTTTTGACAAAAAGTCTCACCAAGAAATTTAAAAACTTTGACAATTTGGCTGCTATCGCCTCATTTTTTTAAAAGCTTTGTTTCAAACTGTCAAGTAATTTATATATCATGCAAATACATGAAAACTAATGAACAACCTGCATCATTTCATCATTGCATTTGGTTTGGCTTGGTTTGGTTTGGTTTGGTTTTTTGACAGTTTCACTCTGAGGTAGGCCAGACTGACCTTGAACTCACTATGTAGGCCAAGCTGCCCTCAACCTCCCAGTGATTCTCCTGTCTCAGCCTTTCAAGTGTTGGTATTAAAAGCATGCACTACCATGCCCCACCATTTTTCATCACTGTTGAAGCTTTCAGCAATATATCCAAATAAAATTTCCAAATGTGAATCCAAAGACATTTTGTGCCTTAAACTTAGAAATTTATCCTCAAATTCAGCCAACAGGTCATTATTCACACAATAACAATGCTAAGGTGTTGTAAAGACTTGTCACACTTGCTTCAAAAAGTACCCAAATGTTACAACTTGCTAAAAGAACACCACCTAACCAGCATAGGAACTATTCACCACAAAGAAGATTCCTGGAAAAAAACGCTGCAAGCTCACAATAGAGAAATGGACAGTACAATCTTTGTATTTCAGAAAGACATACATTACCTTTCTCTATTGTGAAGGAAAACATAGTATTGACACAGACAACATTACATCACTATGATGGGATTAAAACTGAAGCCAGGCAGCATACACCTGTAATCTCAGCACTCTGGGAAGCAGAGGTAAGAGGATCATCTTGTGAGCTCAAGGTCAGCCTGGGCTACATAGAGAGTTCAAGTTGAGCCTGAACTACATAAAGAGGCCTCTGTCTCAAAACCATCAAAAGGAAAAAGATTGATAGTGAGTCCTCAATACAAATGATGCCAGTAATGGTCATGTTTTAGGACAAAACTAAAGATGGAGTACATGCTGTTGACAAGTCATACAGCAACTATGATGTCACTTGAAACCAAAGCATTGACCAGTGGTTGTGTTTTGTTCTGTCCTGAACATGTCAGGCATAAATAGTTTCATACTTTAGAAAAATAATAACAAGCACAAAATATCAGAGAAATGTTCTTAGAGGATTGAGACTGGAATTGACAAATGATCCATTACAACAAAGGAAGAACAATACATATCTGCTCAAAGAACTCTGCAAAAGAATTTTGGCACAGACCAATGAACAGACATGGGAAACATCACAAAACCTCCAAAGAAAACTGGGCATGGTGGTGTGCCTATAATTCCAGTGCCTGGGAGGCTGAAAACAGGAGAATCACTACAAGTCCGATCTACATAGTGAGACCCTGTAGACCCTGTCCTAAATACAGAAATTTAAAAAAAAAAGAGGGTCTACAGAGTCCCACTATATAGATCAGACTCATAGTGATTCTCCTGCTTTTAACCTCCCCAAGCACTGGGATTACAGGCACATGCCACCATACCCAGTCTCAACTGCAGTCTTAGCCTGCCCTGGGGGCGGGGGCGGGGCCA